CTCATGAATCTGTTGTAGGAAGCTCAGTTCCTGTAGTTTACTCACAAGGAACAGCTGTCCATAATGCAAGTGGGCAACCTCACAATCTCTCCTTTATCCAGAAAGGTCTAGTTGCCAATCTCGGTGTAATGCTGTATCTGCTTCTCCAAAGACATCTAGTTCGCCATAAGTCTTCATCAGAAATCTTTTCTCATTTTATACCTTTGTAACTTTTCCCCCCCTTTTCCCTTTCCTTCTTAGCCCGCCTAAACTTTTTACCCCCTCCTCTCCAAACCTCTGCCTTCTTGGTTTCCCCTTTCTGTTGCATTCCTCTTTCCTTTTGCTTTCTAGCATTCTGTTGTTTTTGCATCTTCTTTTTCTCTTTCATAAATATTTTTTTATTTCTTAAGTCCTTCCTTTTCACTCCTCTCTTTCTCCTTTCTTTCTTAGTCACACCATTTAGTTCATTAAAAATGGCTTCTTCTTCCTCGGCTTCTTCCAGCTGTTGTTTAATTTGCTGACACATGACAAGCGCCATATCTAGGAAACAAAGGGCTTCTCCCATAACATCTTTGCCTTCTTTCCTTATTTTTAAATAGTTTTTTTAGTTCATCAAGAGATAGAGCCATTTTAAACTGTTTCTTCTTCTTTTTCTGTATCCTCTTCTTATTATTAAGCCAATCAGTTATTTCCAAACTTAAAACAGTTCCCCAAAGTCCCAAAATCCTGCAATCATCAAACAGTCCAGGCAGAGTACAGACTTCTTCTTTTTACAATTTCTCTTCTAGGGGTGAAGTCAAATTAGGGAAAGAAAAAATGTCCAGTCTGTGATTTAAATCTTTTTTAGAATTAATTTCTATTCTCTTTATCTTCAAGGCATCTCCTCCAGCAAAGTCTTAGAGTAAAATTTTTTTTTCCAAGCCTCTCCCTTCCCACTTATAACAAAGGAGTTTAGGTTTTACCTTCTATTAAAAGGCAGGTTTCCCTTGTCCATTTGTTAATTCCATAAGGGAGGGAGAGTAACTTTCCCTTTTCATCACTTTTCTTCGCCGCTGAAAACATCAATCGGGAACGTTGTAGCGTCCAGAAAAAAGCCAATACTTTCCCAGGTGTTGAATATGTCCTTAAGGCCCCAGTTCAACTAAGAAAAAACTTTCGTTTTAAAACTCCTTCTTCTTCCTCCTGCACATTCTTTATCCAGTTGCCGGCTTCTTTATGGCGGCCATTAAGACCGCCGCTCCACCGTCTTGAGAGAAGGGGGTTATTGCTGGCTGGGGAGGGGGTTTGCGATACCTCTCAACCCCTGTCCGGATCCCCCCTTTCTTCAGCTGCCCCAACAGGGCAGCCTTAGCCTCCAAATCTGTCAGGATCGGAGGCACCAAGGCGGCTAGCACAGCAGGGATCGCGGAGAAAAGCGAATCCCTGCTGTCACCGAAGCCGACAAACCGGAAGTATAAAACAAGATGGAGAAAAGAATTTTTTTTTTAGGGATAATGGGTAATGTATGGGTTTTTTTTTTTAAAAAAAAAGGGGATTCTGCAAAGTACACATGAGTATTGTAATAGTGGCATTTGTATTATAAGTAGATAATCAGAACTTTTTAAGATCTAATAAAAGACTAAAATATTAAGGTATAACTTTAAAATGTTTAACAATGAATGATATTAAGTTTTAATAAAATACTAAAGGGAATGTTTAAAATATTAGTTTAAATATAGAGTTTAATGGATTAATGTGTTGACTGTTATGGATTTATTATTGTAGTATTGGTTTCTGAAATAGTAGAATGTACTAAGCAGAATCTGATTGGGATTTAGGTGTTATTTTAAATTTTAATTTAGGGGAATGATAGAAAGGCAACATACTCTGATTAGTGATTCCAGGGGAAAGTATTCTTTTTGATATTGGAAATGAGACAGATGTAAATGGAGAAATGGACAAAAGATATAAAAATATTTTTCTTTAAAGCAAAATTAAATATATAAAACAGAATTAAGACGAGGCAAAAGTGGAGAGGAGTTATATAATAGATATAGAATGGTAAACAAGATAGGTAATGGTATATAAGAAGAGCATGAATTCAATTGAAGTCCATACAAAAAGAGGTAATCTGGGGCCAAGTTACTTTCTAAAAGAAAGTTTTATGTTTTTATGTTTATGTCTTATGTGTGTGTGTTCAATTAAGAATTAAATAATAAAATCTCGGAGGAAGACTAGATGAGAAGAATTATAAACAAGCCAGAGGAAAATATAAATGTGATGATTGAATAGCAGATAAATTAGAAAGGAAATATGATTGAATAATGATTAAAGAGAAACAATGTGGAATTTGGTAAAGGGAATTTACGTGTTTATATGGAAATGGGATAAATTATAAGTATGTGATATAAAGCAATGTGTTACCTGCCTTGTAAAGATTTACAATGGAAAGAGGTTTTATGTTTTTAATGTTTAATGATGTTTTGTTTTGTTTGTTTGTTTGTAAAATCAATAAAACTTGTTTAAAAAAAAAAGAAATCTTTTCTCCATGTACCTGATTACTACTGTATGTGTTTGAGTAAGAGAAGCTCCTTGCAGAACTGATGGCCTTCCTCCATGAATTCCTCAGCATTTTCTGTCACATATGAAAGCCAAAAGGAACTCTACTTGTTAAATTATGTCTTAATTATACTTGTCCTGATATTCCTCTAAGAAGTGCCAGGTAGCCTACATGGACTCATTTAACCCTCACAACAGAAACCTCATGATGAAGGTTGTACTAAGAGAAACCAATGGCTCCAGTAGTTGAAACTGTCCCACCCCCTCATTCCCTAACCAGTGAGCTATCTATTATTTGAACTGTGACGTAGCTCAGCCATGCACTTGATGAACCAGTTTCCAAGACCAATGGTTAACAGCAAGTTTACACTAAATAAAGTCTGTCTTTCTTAGACTTCCATATTATCCCAGTCAGATAAACATAAATATTGTAATAGGTTTGGGCTCAATAGGCTGATACCAATGTTCAACTTCTTTTGCTCATATACATCCATGTGGTCATAACAGATTTTTTTAGCTTCCCCCAATATTTATTGTAAATGAAGGGTGGCAGTGTTTGTGACTTTACATTCTCCAAAGAGAAACTTTCTTAAATCTTTATACTGCTACTCCTTCACTAAGCACTTTAATGTTCCATATAAGCTGTCACAATGACCCTCCAACACAAAAGGGTACCATTTGTACAATATTGCGTTCATAAATGACCATCCCATTCCAGGAAGGCATCAAGACCAAAGAGAAAAAGTCAAGCATTTCTTCCTCTTAGTCCTTTTTGTTATTAGGTTTTTTTTATGAACAATTACTTTTTTTCTTTGGTATCTTTTATATATTTTATATTTTATTATATATTTTATTTTATACTATTTTATCTGCTATGCAAAGAATGGCTTTTATTCAGTCTTATTTTACAGTAATTAAGTTTAACTTTATATGTTATTTGGTTATTAAATTGAAAATATACATTGGTAATAAATATGAGGCATTGAAATAAATACAGGTAGCACAGAAATGAGGAAGATGAAAAGGAAACTCAAGGGTTGTGACAGACCATAATGGATTCAGAATGAAGTTGCAACATTTCTACTGAAATACAGAAGTAAAAACATACAACAGTTTTCTGTAAAGCTGTAACTAAATTAAAGAATTGGATCCAGCATATATGAGTCACACAGTAACAACAATTAATGAACACATTGACTATAATTAACAAATAAGCATCTTATCTTTGACCCAAAATCAATTTGGGTTATTTGTTTTTGAAGCAATATAGCTGAAAGGTAGACAGATATTCATCTTAAATCTTAAACTCAGGAAGAGAACCCTCTCCCTGAGTACAGGAAACCGTCAGAAAAGAAAAAGCAAACAGCATAATTTTACTTCTTATTCAAAGGGGAGAAAAATTAAGAGTCACAAGATTAGGAATGGAGACAGAAAAGATTATATAGAGACGAAATTACTAGTATTGAGGTGCATTCTGCAGGCCAATCATCTCCAAGGCGGTTATTAGGAAAGGCTATGGGGTAATATAGACTTGCCAATCAAATGAGATCAGCATTGGCATGCACATTATGGTAAATTTTACCCATATCTAACATTTTCAATAAACAATAAAACAAAATTATATCCCACACTTATTCCAATTGCTAGATATTAATATGGAGGTGTGAAAATACTTTTATCCTCTTGAAGAACTTTTTGCACTTTTTTTAACCACCCAGCCTCCCCTTGGATTTTTACCTTCATGACCACTCTGTAAAATAATGCAAGCTGAGACAGCTCGACTGGGCCCTAAACCAGACTGAGTTTTACAGTATACCACATTAAGAATACAGTGCAGATTGAGTTTTTTAGCCTTCCTGTACCATCCTTCTCAAAGAAATAAGCAACAGTTGCCCCGCCTCGCCCCACCCACCCACGAACTATTATTGTGCATCCTTCTGGCTCTTAGATTCAACCTTTGTCCAGAGGCCTCCTGCCCACCAAACTGAAGAGATCTTGGTAAAACTGCTAAGTCACAAGGAGCTACCTCCTTCCCCCCGCCCGCCCCAGCCTCTTCCTGGAAATGCTGACAGGGAAAATGGTCTGCTTAGCTCCAGAAGAGCAGCACTTTAAGGCTGTACAAGAGTAACAGTGCTGCTGCTGCTGCTGCTGCTGCAAACGGCAGGGAGCCTTTTTTGTGTGGCGTCCCTTTTCAGAGGTTACACACCTGACGAAGTAAGTGCGGGCACACCAAATGCGTCCGCCTTTCTCCTCCTCAGCCCCGCGATATGGCTACCAAGCAGAGCACAACCTGACCTGCTTCTCTAAGCCCCCCTTCCGGGAAAAGGAGCGCAACTAGGGCGAAGACCCAGAAAGGTAGCCCCACCGAGAGGCCACCGGCACAGCCGCCGCCGAATGGCCTTCGCACTCGGGATAAGGGACCGAACCTGGTCTCCTGCTCTCCGGCGTCTTAAGGCAGACTAGTCTCCATATGCACGTACCCCCCCAAATCCGCAGCTTCCCAGGAGTCTTCTCCAACGGCAACGCCAAAGCTCCAGACCCGGGCCTTCGCGTCTTCGTCGGCAGCCGCGCCTACCCGTCTCACGAAGGCTGCCCTCCGCGTCCCCTTCCCTCGCGAGCTCTCCGCCTGCTCCTTCTTTCGGTCTATGTCTCGGGTTTCACCAATGCAACCGCAAAGTGCGCACGGCCGTGACGTCACTCCAGGAGCTCCAGCCACCGGGCGGCCAGTGAGGGAGGGCGCTGCAGTGGAGCCACCGCGCCAGCCCTGGAAGCATGCGCGGCTGCACCCGGGGAGGCCCGTTCAGCTCCTTCCTCCCGTCCGCGGCGGGGTGTTGGGGCCGGTTTAAGCCCCCCCCCCCTTTTTTTGGAAGAGCCCTCCTCCTTGTGGTCCTCATGTCCAGCTTTTTGGATCCCGCGGCGAAAGAAGGAACGGGGGTGGGGTAGGCAAGTAAACGGATGCAGGAATCACCCCACATCCCAGTTCTTTTGGCTGTCTGATGGCGTTCTTTACAACATGCTTGTTTATTATGGTATCACATTTTTAGCCTCCTGCAATCACAAGCAGACTCTCGGCGGTTCACTTGAATGATAAAAGAGCAAATAAAATAAAATTTCTACACGCCGAGTTACAGAAATAATCCAGGCAGAGTCTGGCATCAGCCCACAAACTTCCTCCGGAAAATATATGTTTTCAATAGCTTCCGCAAAAGCGCTTAGAATTGGGGCGAAATCCTGATCCAGTGCTGATTTCATCTAGATGTCATCTAATTTCAAAACGTCTTTGATCTATGACTAAGACGGTAGTTAAGGATGTGAGGGTTTTTTTTATTTTTTTGTTTGTTTTTGGTATATAAGGGTAATAAAATGCTATATATACCTCCGTCCCTTTCCTCACATAGGATCAAAAATCCAGTGCAGGAAAGAAACTTTTTTAATGATTATTGCCATTAACTAGATGACAGACTTCCTGTCAAACCCTTGATAAGGAGCAATACGTGAGATGCTTTGAATACTATAAAAGTACTGAATTTTGCACTTTTTACTAGCTTGAGCTGAGGAAAGAGCAAATAAGTTGCAAGACGTCAGCGCGTCTCGTGATTCCAACTAAGTAGTGGTCCAGTGACCCCCCTGGTGGTTTGTGAAGATAAAGGATTTGAGTCCATTGGTGTCCTAAGCGCTGTTTAGCAGTCCTGGCAGAGGTCTTTCGAAAGAATGGAGTGGAGTGGAGTGGAGTGGAGTTGTTGGAATTGGAATTGCAATAGAATAAGAGAAACTTAATTGGCCAAGTGTGATTAGACACACAAGGAATTTCTGTCTGGCGCAGAAGCTTTAGAAGATAATGTTCACAGAACATAAAAACGTGGAAAAAGCTTGATTAAAATCTGGCCAAGAAAAACTGTAAAGATCATGTCACAGCATTAATGTTCATATTCAATAGTGGATTAAATTCTCAAAACATTTTTTTAAAAAACCCTAAATTTTTGGGGAAAACAGCTACGATTGTATTGTTGTGTGTAGGGATGCATCATAATGTAAACAGTTTGCCTCTGGTTATGATTATTATCAATTTAATGTTTTCTTTGCTCACTGACTCCCGGATATTCATAATTTTGGAAACAATCACTAGTAGTTCATATAGTTTTTAATTGACAGCTGTTTACAGAGAATGCCAATTTTCACTGAGTTACACACGCATTCTTTATGTATTGAGAAAATTCACGTATATTATCAATTTTTCAATGTATAGGGCCATTTGCAATTAAGTAAACAACACAATACATAGTATTTTAATGTGCAAAATAATACAACAAAGCTGAGGTTCTGTTCCTAAGACTGAGAGCAACATATTATTTCTCAGCCCTCCCCATTATGCCCTTATAAAATCTTCTGTAATGAGGGTAGGACCAATATATAACAGCTAAATTTTACATATTGTAAGTGAATAAAAGGCTGAATTGCTAAATAAAATGGATGGCTTTTGAATTTAAAAGAAACTGTGGATTTTTGCTCTAAAAACTATGCTTATGTAAAAAAATAAAGAGCTGAATGATTGTTTGATCAATTCAATGTTGACCAATTTTCTACCTCATGCTTCACTGGAAATTTAGTAGGATGATAGTTTTAAGTCAAATATTTAGCTCTGCTGTTATTTTTCTCAATATTATACAGGATATTTTTCTGCAATATAACAAATTCCAGTTTAAGAAATTGCTTACATAAAGCTGAAAAATGTGGCTGTTATAGCACAGTTTAAAATTGCCAAATGAAATGTTAATTTTGTTTTAAAAATATCCTTTTAATTCTTTTCTAATACATTGTTACCCCCATTGTTGTATGAGATTAGCTGGGGAAGAAAGAAGACAAAATATTGCTAAAAAACCCAGGAATAAAATACATTCCAATTTCCAAGTATTCCTTTTTGTTTCTTCTAGGCATTTCGTTGAAGAACATTACAATGACATACCAATTGTGCTATTATCTGAATACATTTAAGATGTCAAAGATGTACAATGGCCAGAAGCATTTTAGGAATGTTAAATGTCTTGAAATAATTGGATACTGGAGAATTCCTATGGTACTACTATGTGCCAATGGAGCGCACTTTTAACCATGCTGTGGAATAAAAAAAACCTATACAAGTTCCAGAAAACTGGTCCACAAATTCTCAAGCTTTACTCTTTGTTGGCACTACTGAATATGGAGAATCTGTCTAAATGGGAATTCACTTGCAAAATTTATTACTTTGAAATTCCCCCTCCCCAAAAAGGCCACACTGCATTGATTTCTCTCGCTTGGTAGCTCCCAGCTATATTGGACAGCTCCCAGCATTTCCAATAGGAATGGAACATTGTTGGGGATACCTAGAGTTTTAGTCAAACCTAGGCAGTAGGTTTATGATTGCTGCCATGTGAATAGTTGTGAAGGAAGTTGAGGGTACATAAATAAAAAACAAGTTTTGATGCTTTGTTGATGTTTCTGATGCTCCAATAATCTGATAGTTTATTGTGCAGACAGAAAATTAATTCTCTGATTGTTGTTTGTGGCAGAACCTGGCACCTTCCACATTTGCCAATACATTTACTTCACACACAGAAATACTGTGGTTTATCTTAACAATGTCAACATGGACTGCATAGGATGCCTAAGAAAGAAAGTATTCTGAAGTTTTACAGCTGAAATTAAAATAAATTTAAAAGAATGTTTTGCAGAGCAGAAGATTGAGCAGCCATCCAACGACCCTATTTAGGGACCATCTGGATGCATTGAGAGCTCCGGGGGAGAAGCTTAGGGGGACATGTATTGGAAATTTGTTTAATTACCAAAGAAGTGTAGCAGAAAAGTTAAGCTAGGATAGTAACGACAGATGACAGGGGAGAAAGCAAACATTTTCTACTTTGTTTTAGCTTTCTTCCATATCAAATCGATCTAAGCATAAAGATGGAATGGTACCCCGAGTAAGTAAGACATTAAATCTCCAAATCAGGCCATTTACATCTGATGATCCTGAAGAAACTTGTGGATGTTATCTCAAAGCCCCTTTCTGTATCTGCTAATTCATGGAGGATTGATAAAGAGCCTTGATGGTGAACCTATGTCATGTGTGCCGGAAGTAGCACGCAGAGCTATCTCCTGGCATGCGAACTGTCGCTCGTTGCTCTTCTGGGTTCCGGCGCACCGACCAGGTGGTCTTCACATGCATAGGAACACCGGAAACCGGAAGAGCAGCTGCCGAGTGCGCATGTACACACCGGAAGATGATCTTCCGGGTTCCAGTGTGCACATGCACACCGGCCAGCTGGCCTTCATGCCAGAAACTAGAAGACCAGGTGACCGGTACAAATGCGCATGCCAGACACCGGAAGAGCAGCCGCCTGGCACACACATGTGCACTGGGTGGCTGCTCTTCCAGTTTCTGGCACGCGCACTCCCATTTCAGCACTCGGTGCTGAAAAGGTTCACCAACACAGATATAGAGCATGAGGACTGAAGAAAGGCAAATGAATAACAAAGATTTTGTTTCCTGAATATTTCCTGAATTACAGATTTTTGGCTGCTAATCATGAAAATAACCCATAATTTAACCTATCATGTACTATTTTATAGACATTTTCTGGTTTTGCAATGTACACCCTTCAGTACCTGATGGCTGTGAAAAAAACATGGAGCTATTGTTGAAGTAAACTCAGTTATACCAAATGTAACTGGAATATCTGAAGATCTAAAAGTTGTGGTTCTGTTGCTTGGCATGTAGCTCAGATATACCAATTACTGTTGTTACATATGTGAATGGGACTGATGTGCAAGAGAGTTTGCATTACATTAAAAAGAAATGACCAGTTGGAAAGAATTTGGTTCCAGGATAGAACATATGGTGCATAAACCACTTGGTGACCCAACAAAGATATTTGCGTTTCCACTTCACATAAAAATGAAAATTTTTATGAAGGTAATAAAACAATGAAGGTGAATACTTTTGTTACTTGAGACAGATGTTTCCAAGAATAACTGATGCCATAATTAAAGAAGACATTTTTGTTGGTCCACTGATCAGATATATCATCAATGACAACCGGTTTAAAGATCTGTTAGTAAGGCCAGAGAAAATCACCTGGAAAGCATTCAAGCAAGGATGTTGCTGAGAATTTTCTCGGCAACCTCAGAGCACCAAACTACATTCAGCTGTTTGATATAAAATCAAAGGTATAAGGATAGGATAGGAGATACCATATTAGACAGCAGCATAAGTGAACCAATATGTGTGTCTTTATGGATCACAAGCTGAACAAGAACAAATAGTGTGATGCAGTCCATCCATCTTATCCCTCCATCTACTTCCCTCATTCTTGTCAAGCACAGTAATTTTTTCAGTGAATAATCCATTCACATCACATAGCCAAAAATCTGCTTTGTGATAATCACCTAAAGAAAGCAGACAATATTTATTTGTTTCAGAATATATTGACGGATTGCTTCTTTTGCAGTCATGGTACTGTACTTAGTAATAATTGTTAGATGCATAATTTGAAGGTATTGCTTTTCTCCTTCTTCCTAAGTGTCAGTGTTTTACCTTCTTTCTCTTTCTACTTTTCACCTTATAATAGGAAAACAATTATGATCTATTTATTATGATCAACTCTTCTGAACTGTGTTGTCATTA